CCGTAGCCACTGAGCGGTCGTCGTTTCTGAATGCATCCCTTGCACCCATTTTTATCTCTAATGGAATATGCCAATCAGATGCAAGAGCTCACTGAACGCTTAGGCCCAGATTGACAGATTGGTCAATTCCGATGGATTAATTGGTCCAGTTAAGTTAATTGAGCTTGGTGACAGTGGCCCTAAGGGCCAATTTCACCAACCACGGTTAGATTAACCGACGGTTAAAGTTAGCAGGGTGACCAACAGACACATATTTTCTCGTAACCTCTTGGCTCTAACCTGAAATTTGTGGGAAGCAATAAACAGTGTATTATACATGTGAAAAAAAGTTTAAAAGGTAATATAAATATATATAATATGTTTCTTTATATAATATAAAATGACATTATAAATTTTATTTTTTTTTACAGATTAAAACATGCAAAGGCAAAAGAATTTTTCTAACGCAGATAAAGAATCTTTATTAGATTTAATATTTTTACAACGTGATGTCATTGAAAACAAAGAAACTGATCGTTCAACACTTGTAAAAAAGGATGAATTATATATATTTATATTACCTTTTAAACTTTTTTTCACATGTATAATACACTGTTTATTGCTTCCCACAAATTTCAGGTTAGAGCCAAGAGGTTACGAGAAAATATGTGTCTGTTGGTCACCCTGCTAACTTTAACCGTCGGTTAATCTAACCGTGGTTGGTGAAATTGGCCCTTAGGCCCAGTTCCACAACTCACAGTTAACTTAGGCCGGTATTCATAGTCAGTTCTTATATTCAAGACCGTCTTAAGTACAATCTTAAGAAGTCACGAACCAATTAGAAAACCGCATTAGCGTCTTAAGACGGTCTTGAAATAAGAATCGACTATGAATACCGGCCTAAGAGAGAGAGTCATATTCATAGTTGTGATTCAACCTGAGATCTGATTTGAACTATTAAACCACAATTTAATGAATCCGATTGGTTCGAATTTTGGTTCAAACTTAGCTCAGAGCGGTCGTGCTTCTGGATGCACCATAGGAGGCTGTCTTCCCACATGGAGAAAGAAACCACGGAACGGAATATAACTCTCATCCTATCTTTTTTCTGTCAATATTCCGTTCCGTTGTTTCTTTCTCCATGGGAAGACAGCCTCACGCTTATGCGCATAAATTAGTACTTTCCATTTAACTGCATTTAACACAAATCGACACAAATATCACTCTACCTTTTTTGACATTTCGGTGTCTATGCATAATTCCTATTTATTTAATCAATATTTTTTAACGGAATATGCCAATTATGGCCGGTATTCATAGTCAGATCTTATTTCAAGACCGTCTTAAGTAATGTCTTAAGATGCTAATACAGCCTCTGATTAGTTCGTGACATCTCAAGACTGAACTTAAGACGGTCTTGAATATAAGATGAATACCGGCCTATGAATCAGATACAAGAACTCACTGAACGCTCAGTAGTTTCAGTACTGAATACAGCTTTTGATCGTTTTCGAAGATTTGAAGCTTCAAATTTTTTCGAAACTTTGGAAATTAACTTCGAACTTTTGAAGTTTAAAGTGTCTTCGAAGCTTCGAAAATACATTTGTACGAATGACAAATTTATTTAGGAAATGCCAAAAATATTATAAATAAAATGAATTAATTAATATATATATATATGCTGAAAAAAATGTGATATTTTTAAAATATTTGGAAGTGTTATAATCTGAAGTATTACATAATAAATAATCAGACTTAATATAAATAGAACACTTATTATAATCAGACTTCATATAAATTTAATAGAACAAGTCGAAATGGATTCCAATCGGAATTATTCCGTTTTCCTAAAAAACACAATAGAAATCTATAGGGAATAATTGAATAATTTCATAATACATATAATACGAGGAAGGATCTTACTAAACAATCCAATAAAGATAATTAAAATAGCAGAAATAAATATATTCTCAAATGAATAAATAAAGAACAATAAATTAATATATGATTGAATATTTTGGCTTTACTAATTGTAAATTTTGCTTAGTATGACAATTTTAGGAATGGAAAATTGAGACAGAATCATAAGATTCATGAAAATGATGAAACTAAATGTACATCCATTACTATTATTATAGTATTAAACTATATAATAATTATATAATTGTATAACTTCGAAGCAAATCATAAGGGCCACTGTCACCAAGCTCAGTTAACTTAACTGGCCAGTTAGTCCATCGGAATTGACCAATCGCATTTGTCATTTTGTTTGAAGCAAAAGTTGTTTGAAACTAAATCACCAGCCTTAATACTCTGGGTAGCGATCATGTAACTTTTTTCCTAAGGCGAAAATGTGAAAAGTGGAAAATTTTTGTATGTATGTGTGTATATATATATATATACGAACATCACTGAAAAAATGCATGTAATTTTACATGGAAATTACATGTTTATGACTGGAAAATTACTTAAATTACATAAATATGATTGAAAATTTACTGGAAATTGTAAATTTTCAATCATATTTATGTAATTTAAGTAATTTTCCAGTCATAAACATGTAATTTCCATGTAAAATTACATACATTTTTTTCAGCGTACATACATAAAAATTTTCACTTTTCACGTTTCCTAGCGAAAAAGTTACATGATCGCTACTGGCTG